CATAGACTCAGTCAGTATGTCCGTTTTGAATTCAATCGGATCCGGCCATCCGACGGTGGATCTGGCTCGGGGTTTAACTCGCGGCCGCACTGCGCGTCAATGACATTAGTCCGCGCGACCCGCGCGCGTATAGCTACCGGGGGATCCCCGCGAGGGGCTCGGAAAGCTAGCGCCGTTACAAATAGTGAACGACGGCGCAAGCGACTGGGAGAACAAGTCCGGAGAAGACAGCGTTAGCGAACGGGAGGAGATGACTTTCCAACCGCGCAAGCTGTTCGAAGAAGAGGAGGAACTCCTCATCATGGAGGAGGAAATCACTTTCCAGGATTGGGCGGCTCCGGAAGGGCTCACGGTCTTGACCATCCTTGCAGGGGAGACCACGACTTTGGAACCCCCCGAACAAATGCAGGGACTTCCGGGAATCCCGGCTCGGGCACGCACGGTTCTGGAAGAAGAAGAAATGGTAGAATAGCTGACACGAGACCTGGACAGGCACCTTGGCTGGGACGCACAACAAATCCTGGAAGCAGCAACACGCGAATGGGAAGCGGAACTTCCGGAGCCAGATGGCTTTGATGCTGACGTTCTGCAGGTCCGAACTCGGCGCAGGAACTTTCTGCGAAACGGGGGAGTAAATACCCCTTTAGCGGAGAGCATTCTGGTGGAAAGAATGGCCATAACGATCCTCACCAGTTGCCCGAATGCGGACCCAGAGGAGGTTCTGAGGGAGGCCAAAAAGGCCATCCTGAACATGCGGCAAGACTGCAGGGAGAACGTGATTGCAGCAGTGCGGGAGAACCTCCTATCTCGGGGTGACCAGAATCCTAGCGAGGGGATTAGGGACAACTCCAACGAAGCCGGCGCCGCCCAGATGGAAACATTCTCCCAGGAGCACCTTCCCCGGCCCGAACCGGAGCACTTCCTGTGCGGAAACGCAGAAGTCATAGATTGGCTGTGCCGCGGACAACTTCCAGCATTCAAGGAAATGATGGCCAAACAGCGCAAAGAAGCGCGCCGCCAAATCCGGGACGGAGCTCGCTGCTTCTTATTCGAAGAAGGCAGGCTTTGGAAATTGGACGCGCCCCCAAAGCGCAAGAATCAAGTGCAGGGGCCGGTCCGCAGGCGTGCCGTTTTGACGGAGGAAGAAAAACAAATGCTCTTGGAAAAAGTACACAATCAGGGAGGGCACCCCTCTATTCCGAAGACGAGGAAGCTTCTTCGGGAAAGGATGTACGAGGACGTGCGCGACTTCATCAAGTCCTGCGTCGCTGCCAATTCGCCAACCAACCCACAGCAGAGCGAACGGACGGCCGAAAGCTGACGAGCACAGAGGTGGACCTACCCCTTGAGAAAGTCGGCTTCGACTTGCTCGGGCCATTCCCACCAACGACAGAGGGATACGAGTACGTCTACATTTGGTACGACTACTTCTCCGGCTGGATTGGTGCAGGGTTGGGAAGGACCAAGCAGTCTGCGGGAGTCGCGGAGTTCCTTAAAATGGATCTCTTTGCGGCCCACGCCTGCCCGGCGCTTATAAGCATGGACAACGACGCACACGTCGGGGAGGTGAAAAACCTTTGCCAACGAATAGGGACTCAAGTGCAGGTGATCGTCCCCTACTCTCCCTGGATGAACGGAGGAGCGGAATCATCGGTGAAGATATTCACCAAGAATGTCCGCAAGCTGGTGATTCAATACGGACCTGACTGGGTTTCTCACATCTACGAGGCCTTATTGGTCATCAGGGTGTGCTACCGCACAGCTACCAGGATGTCTCCGTTTGAAATAATCTACGGAAGACAGCCGGTCCTGCCAGCGGAGCGACTGCTCGTGGCACGGTTCCGGATAAGCCAATCCTCTACCTCTGAAGGGGAAGAGAGGGCGGAGCGCGAGTTCGACGCCGCAGTGCAGGGAATTAATTGCGGAATCCGGCGAGTCAACATCCTACTGAGACAAGCGCACCAAGCAAATATGCGCGCGACTGCCGCTCGAACAGGGACATCTCGCAGGTCCGAGCAGAAGCCGCTTACCAAAGGCGCCAGCACAGGGGAGTCTACCGGGTCGCCAACCTCAAACCGGGACAGCTGGTCATCATGAAATAGGCTAAGCGCGAGCAAAAGTTCGATACAGGGTGGGAAGGACCTTACAAGTTCGCCTACTTCTTCGACGAAGCCGCGCAGGTCGCGGTACTTGGAAGACCAGAATGGGCAGCGCTGGACGCGCCACATTGTTATGCTACACCCCTATGAGCCGCAGGCAGCGGTCGGGGAGTAGTACAACATTGCGTAAAACAACACAGCTGGGCGCAATCGAAGTCCCTGACGCGGCAGCTTTAAACAAGGGACAGGAGGAGACGCGGCCGCGAATTAAAACCCGCGGGTCCAAAAACCTCGCCGTCAGAGAAAACAAACATTTGAATATAAGGAGGGCAGAGCCGTACAAATCCGTACATTGGAGTCTCCGCGGAGACTCGATTTGCAGGGTGCGGAGAGCTCCGCAATCATTTCCGGCGGTTGCACGCTTGGTCGGACTTCCCGAGAGCCTCCCCGAAGCGTGTCGGCCCTCGTCGGAGATATCGCCCGACCACTTCGCACGATCCGCAGCTGACGACCGCACCAGGGTGGGGACTCGTCACAATCGAGGCTCAATAATACAAGTGCGGAGTGCAACAGAATTCAAACTCGAGGCCTCTACGGTCTATTCCCTATTAGCTGGCCAATCGCAGGCAAAATGGGGCAGAACCCCTACAAGTCCCTGAGAGCTCCACTGAGTGAACCTCTGGATTCATTAGTGCAGGCAGCGG